AACTCATGTACATTGGCGGATATGCAGTCAATTTCCCTCACGGTGCAAGACATTTTGTGCACAGGTACGCTACTGCAGTCTGAATCCTGTTATTTTTTATGGTGGTCAGTTGCCAAAAAAAAATCAGTGGCCACGAAAAAGAAACTAATTCAGCACCACCGAGTGGTATATAATGAAAGTGAAGGAAAATCAAGATATGGTACTAAGTCACACTTCACAACTTGGAGCAGTTTAGAAGCAACAGCTAAATGACTCAAAGACACGATCCGCGTTCATGTCATGTTCGGGCGCCTTCTCTGGACACGAAAGCGCCTGCAAACAGGGAGAGTGCCTGCGAGGGTACTACTTTCGCAACACAAAACTGCCTGAGGAAAAAGCTTTCCGCTCGCGACGGAGCCACGGTCCCGTCCACAAGTCACGGCAACGCCTTGGATTCACTGAAGACTTTCTGGTGGTGCGGTTGTTCCGCTACTAGCTCTCTCCAGCAAATGGTGAGAGTGCGTGGGTGATAGGAGGAAATGTTGACACCAGCAAGCATGAACTCGTCCGATCACGCCCTGTCTTCGACCTATACAGGTACAAACGCGTTTCAACGTGGGATTTCGTACGAGTCCCGGGGGCCCCTTTGAAGGCAAAGCCCGAGATTAAATATTCTGGGTAGTGATGCTCGAATAGCAATGTCGATATGGCAGGAAAGTCAATGGTGAAGAAAAAGCAGAAAAAATGGGCGCAAGCGCTCCAAATAAAACCTCATAGTAAGCGAATTTGTACAAGCAGAGGGCGATCAAAGGAGCGAGTGGACGAGCGTATGGTGTTGTGGCTGATATGGTCGCCGCGCTTGATCACAGCTGATTTCTTACTGGCTACGATGTCTGCCTATGTGCTTTGACAGGTATTCTGTTATTATGGCTGAGCAGAATGGCGGGCGGGGTCAATAGAATTGGGTTGGGCCAATAAGAGTCCGTTTCCTCACTCCCTTCTGCGCAGCGAAAATGGTGCAGTCGCTGCCTTTACACACCAGTCCACCTGAAACTCTAACTGATCGCGGGCACTGTCTGATGAGATCGATAAGCACACATCCCACAAGACAAGGCGATGGTCTCTAGTTATGTATTGTGAGATCACTAAGCACCGCAGCTGGGTTTTCGAATTTCAGCTAGTCCGTAACCCTAACAGCCCGTCTCTATGCCCACCACAGGTTTAAAAAAAGGAATATATTCGTAATTGAATGCTGTTCTCTACTCAATATAGCTTGTTTGTTTTGTCACCAACGAAGACGCGGAACAAGTTCACATTCATTGATAAAAATGCTTGCAATTTTGGTTTCTCTTTCATCATATACGTTTTAGAAGTTATTTTTTGAAGTGATGCCTTGTAAAAAGAGAAATGTTAGCCGTCCAAAAGTTGTTTTTCAGCTTTCCAATGTATTTCGTTGTGCCAGCTGATATTGTACAGCATGATCTAGACAGGATGGCTCAGCATTGGCAACTCAGCCGATTTCCAGTCAGTTGATAGCGCGTGTTCTTCTCCTTCTTCTGCTTTTCAAGTGGCCTTTGATTCAGATTTGGGTGTGGTCCTCTCCATCAGGTGTCTCGCTTCTTCGTTCCTCAAATTTCGACATGAACTGGGAAGCTCCCCAACTAAATGATAAGTTCGTGAGTTTGTCATTTTAGTGGAGTCGGTGTTCATTCAATGGTCTTTCAGAGGTGCATGTGAATAAATGTTACAGAGTAATGAAGCGAGTTGCTCGTGCTACAAAAGGTGAGCATCCACCTCATGCGATTTCTTTGAATCCTGATATCACGCCGCAGAAGATCGCCACATCCTATGATCGATTGCGACGGTACTGTTCTGCAGGTGAGAATAGAGATCTCAGTGATTTTCTTCTTCTAATCAATCCAGTTTGGATACTCTCGTCGTGAAAGACACAACAAAGCATATGTCTGAATGCTTCCAGTAAGCAATTCAGAGGTGGTTAGGGAACATTGGTGGTGGGAGATAAGTTGTGATATAGTGTCCGACAAGGGTCAGTATCTGTTCGCATCTTTACTCCGCTGCGACTGGATGTTGGCCAGTGTGGCCCCAGATTCCCAAGGCTTACCAGGGAAGGCCGCCAACTTACCATGGAACTTTAAAAGGAGACCTAGGTGGATTGATAGAGTCTATAAGGCTATTAACAAATATAGATAGCAAAACTGCAACGTGCATTCCACAAGGAGTTTGACAGGTAAATTTTGTTATGTGTAGTCGGTGGAGGCCTTGTGGTACAGCTTGCGGAAGGATAATCGCGGAATTGCTTAAAGTGATCGAGTGCTTGTGGTTCAGTGGTAAGGTTTCTCGCTTCAAGTAGATCATATATCGGTTCGATTCTAAGGAGTCGGTCAGACTTCGCATTTCTATTGTGCCACTGGTTTTTTGACTTGCGTACGAGTTAACACCTGGCATCGTTTAATTCACGTTCTCGGCCTCTATTTACTGCGGAACCGGGAGCATGAAAGTTTCTGCTCCATTGTTTTTCGCCTAACTTTTTTCGATTCAGAGCCCACGCAAGTACTATGACGTCTTTGCGCAAGTTGGTTAGATGGAATCGTCAGTGCCAATGTTGATCTACCTCGATGACGCGCGGTGGCACTTGATTTAGCATCAGGTCCGCTATGTCTTTCTCTCGCCAGCAATAAGGGGTTCGCATACTGGCAGCAAAGGTAGTTTTCTGAATACTCGTGCTACAAAGCGGGGGCAACTATTGAACCACTCCTACCCCAAAAAACTCAAAAAATTTTTTCGCTAAAACGTTGCCTAAAGATGTAATTCGATGCGCCTGACTTCACGAATATCACAGCCGTTTCGAGCGCTGGCATCATTTGGCGCCATATGCGCCAATTTGGCGCCCACCACTTTTTTCACCAAAGTCGATGAAAACTTGCATATGGGGGTTAATCAACATACTGATCACGGATATCACATTGGCGCCAAAAATAAATATTGGATTCGTGATCAAGATATGTCGACTGACCCCATATGCAAGTTTTCATCGACTTTGGTGAAAAAAGTGGTGGGCGCCAAATTGGCGCATATGGCGCCAAATGATGCCAGCGCTCGAAACGGCTGTGATATTCGTGATCAGCGCATCGAATTACATCTTTAGGCAACGTTTTAGCGAAAAAATTTTTTGAGTTTTTTGGGGTAGGAGTGGTTCAATAGTTCCCCCGCTTTGTAGCACGAGTATTTCAGAAAACTACCTTTGCTGCCAGTATGGAAACCACTATTGCTGGAGAGAAAGGCATAGAGTAGGGAGAAATTACTAAATTGGGCCGAAAGCAAATAGTTCCTACGCACGCGGTCGCTGCTGCGGCCGCGTGCTAGGAACTATTATGCTCTGTATTATGCTACGCATCATTCATAATAGAGTATTTGTAACATATAAGTTTATTTCTATAAATACTCCTCACTATACTAGCTATAATGAAGTCCTCACTGTAACCATTGCTATAAAGCATTCTTACCATATCCGATATCCTAAGGGTTTCTGTGTATATAACGGAAGCCTTGTTGTTAGTGGAGATATTTGAATCACTGTGTGGGAATCTAATCACTTTAAAGTTAAAGTCATCTGTTTTATTATATAAACCAGTAGTAATTTGGCCGTTTACTGTATTGATTATTAAGTCCAAATAATTATGTCTCGTTCAGTCTCGGAGGTATTTCTATGAACCCTCAGCGAGTTGTTCATCGATTTCATTTTCAGACTGGTTATGTATGACTAGGAGATCATCCATATATCTGTATGGAATGAGCAATTTACTAGCATTGAATCTATTGCACTTTGCATAATTGTATTCCATGATTGACAGCGTAAGGTCTGCCAACAGCGGGCTGAAGTTGCCTCCTTGTGGAACACCTTTAGTCTGATTGAATATGTTACCAGCAAAAATACAAAAACTGTTGCGCAATAAGTAATCGATAAGATATATTAAGTCGGTAGCTTTGTAGTATCTGTAGTTGCTTTTATTTGCTTTAGTAATAAAACATGGTAACCATTCCTAGCAATGAACGCTTTGATTTTGAAGCAGATGCTCATAAGCTGTTGCATATTCCTGATAATGAGGCTATGTTCAAGTTTGTAAACATGTCAGTGAAATCGGCAGTATATTTTTTGACATTGCCGTAGGCAATATTAGTCAGCTCCTGACTTATATTGATGTTGTCTATCGCGACGCCGCTACAGTCTTAATCGTTCTGTTTCGGTTTTGCATCACTTTTGCATAGTTTATGAAATGGTTTTTGAAATGTTTGAAAATAACGTGTAGTTCTTTGGCTAGGGGTTTGATGCTGTCAACTTGGTGAGTCACTCCGCGTGCCTGACCGCAGAGTGCTCTCCCGTCTGGTGCCTGGCCTCGAGAGCGAGATGCAGAGAAAAAAACGGATTAGTTGTCCTAAGACCCTTTAACTATGCGTGCAGTAATGCGCGTCAGCCAAACTGGCCGTCATAAAAACGACTTGAAAGGGTTGGAATGTTAATTAATGCTTTGAAGGCAAACGTTATAATCTCTTCTGAACGTTATCTCTTCGTCATTCACTTGTTTGCTATTAATTTCGGGCACAGTTGTAATCCGTTTCTGAAGCCCCTATTTTACCCTTCAATTTCAGAATCTTATGAGCAGTTTGCGTCCCGAGACAAGGATTGGTTGGCAAGGATCCATCAAACGGGATGGCTACAACTCATCGCCTACTGCTTAGCAGCCGCGCGGAGGGAATCGAATCTCTGAATAGATCATGGATGTTCGGTGGTCGATCTGTATGGACGGTTCGCAGTTCTTGATTGTTGTGCGCTGTTAAGTTCAATCAATAATTGTCCTATACTAATCCGTCTCCCGCCCACACCAACCAAGCCTTCTATCCTCCGTGAATGGTGAACTGGTAGCAATTCGTCAAGAAAGATAACATAACAATGTTGACTTGTACATCGCTGGCCTCCGCAAGTCATTTTATAGCCACACATTCAGTAAGCCACTACGATTTTGAATGGAAGTAGGAATCAGGGCACGCCTTCGCGTTGTGATCATTTTCCGCTAAATACGACCCCCCCCCAAATAAGGGTCTCAATACGACAACAGAGATGAAGATATTGACAATAAAGAGAACTAGGCACTATTGAACTATTCCTACCCTAAGAACTAAAAAAAACGCTTTTCGCTGAAACTTTGTCCATAGATGTTATTCGATGTCCTGATCACGAGTATGACATCGTTACTCCATACCAGCACTATTTAGCGCTCTGCTGAGGCTGAAACTGGATCAGAAAGTAATTTCGCCTATGGGCGCAGGCTGTTTAGCAAAGCGCAGATGACCATAGTGTCGTAAAGCATAAAAAAATCTGACTTTGTACACGAGCGGCGCCGGGGCCAATAATAAATGTCATATTTGTAGTCAGGATGTCAAACTACCCCCGTGTACAAGTTTTTCGATTTTGGTGATTTAGGGTATTTCGGCTCCGGCGCCTGTGGCGCGTAAATCGTCAAGTTCGACGAGTTTTCGAGCGAAGCGGAAGCGATATTTGTTTAGAGGAGGTGAAATACCACCATAAGCAAACTTTCAGCCAAAACTGCCCTTTTAGAAAAAGTTCGATAAGAAAGCAGCCTGATTCCGGCAGACTGGGATAGGAATAGTTTGATAGCGCAGAAACCCAGAACTCAGAATAGAAAACTAATGAGAATAACTGAATATGAACATCCTCAAACCACTACAAACGAAAAACAATAAAAAAAACTCACCATGACACATGGAAGTCAGAACTGGTAAATAGCATTTGAATATTAGTTGTTCGCGGTCACCGCGCTAATACAAACGTATTGGAGCGCGCTATTTTACGACCTAGAGCCAATTCCAAGCCAAACACTCGAAAAGTACCCCTAGTTTGACACCCATACTTTTTTTGAGAGTGAAGCTTCCGGAGAGGGGAAAGCAGGTGCGAGGGGAACTAGGTTGGCACTTGTTACCTGATTTTGAGCGATTCAGAAAAAATATCCTTTTTAGGTATTTTTCTCCGTTGTGACCCCTGCGTGATCATGGGGGCCAACCACAAGTCGCTACGCTTTGGACATCCATGGCAAGTTTCATGCAAGGCCTTTCGTGAAAAGAAAAACTGTGCCGGAAGCATGAAGTTTTCTACTTTCCAGCAAAACTTTCATTTTATCCCTAGGCCTGCTATATGACGACAAAACCCCTCATTGTGATCACCCGTGACCCTGCCCCACAACACGAAAAATCAACCCCTCCGACGCCATAAAACTCCAGTTGGCTTAAAGACTTTGGTATGCTTCCAAAACGCATGTTTTTGCCAGGGATATCAGGAAATAGTTCATGGGCGCCAATTGGCATCACCTCTGCAATGCGCCATGCATAGCGCTTTCACGCAGAGGTATTGGGAAGGTGCAACTTCTAGAAAGGGCTTCCTCCGCAAGTAGATGTGCTTCTGCGATAGAAAGGTCCGGAAGTGTATTTCCATCTGTTTATTAATTCATGGCGGATATTCATTGGCGCGGAGGTGGTGTAGTGACAAGTGGCGCGCTTACCACTGCGCGATGCCGGGTTCAAATCCCGGGTCGACTCCCGCCCAGGCCAACCAAGCCTTCTACCCTCCGGGGACGGTGAATTGGTACCAGATTCGTCTGGAAAACACTGACTTGTACATCGGCTGGCCACCGCAAGTCATTGTATAGGCCACATCGCATTCAATAAGCCACTACGATTCTGAATGGAAGTAGAATGCGTGCCGCATCCCACAAAGGGGTTGATCAACGGCGGAGACTTTATCCTTCATCCTTTTTTATTAATTCATGACGTCGTTGTGAGCGGCTATTTCCTGTCATCGCCCGTTCCCCACTTCTGCGCTGGCAGGTTGCTTCTGTCTTGTGTGGGTCTCTTCAGGGGTTCTTCACATGGATAAGTCTTCATCATTGAAGCTGAACGACATCTGGGTATCGCTGCACCCTCACTTCAGAAAGGTCCCCGCGCTTACGACCCCCCCTCCCTCGAGGTCAAATACGACCCCCTGTTGTGATGATCACAACGATGGCGTGCCCTGAGTAGAATGCGTGCCGCAATAACATCCCCGAACCAATCCCAAAAAGGAATTGATCAACGGCGAAGACTTTATGCTTTCACTTTATACTAATCCTAGTGAGTGAAGAGAAAGGATACCAGTATTCTAGAAGGGAACAGTGCCTTCAGAAGTGGATCCCCTTGCAATCGGTCACTAACGTTTGAGCTCAGGCTGCTGCACAAGTGCTAATAAGTGCTTGCCTTCAATTTGCTTTTTTCAGAGAATAATGGTCTAGATATATCTGCTGTAGTTTCTAGTCTAGTACAAATTTGCTGTGATCGCTATTATAGAACCCTCGAAGGTAGTCGTTGAATGTATCATTATTCACTGGAATAGGTCCATATTTCATCTCATTTCTCTTTATTTTCAGGTCTGGACTCTTTAATCTCGAAAGACTGGATAGCCTTGGGACATCCATTCGCCCAGCGTCTTTTTGGTGTTTCGGGTGGCACCAATGAAGCTGTTACCTCTCCCACATTTCTAGTTTTTCTCGATTGCTTGGCTCAGCTCATTCGGCTCTATCCAATGCAGTATGTTCGATGTTCTCAATATTGGCTTTTGAATGATTTTTGTTGTTTTTTTAAATGTTTGGTCAATCAATGGAAGTATTTATAGGTTCAGCTATACCGAACATGCATTGATAGCTTTATGGGATCTCAGTTTACCTGGAATGGTACCATGCATTTTTCTGCTTCATCCAATTGCCAGATCAAATGGCTTTCCAAGTATTACTGGTAGTCCATTTCCCTGGTAGGATTTTTTTCATGAGTCTTATACGCGGTTGTTTACGAGTGTCACCAACATTGGAGCTATGATTGTGGAGCAGGCATCAGGTAAGTAGATCAATAAGAGATGGACAATTTTAAAACCGCAGTCGATATTTTATTCGCAGTGATTTTATGTGGTTTATGACCGCTCATAAATGTGATTAACAGTTAATCGGCGACCGACCCAGATACCAAGTTTCATTCCCATAGTCGATAGCTGAATAGGCGAAGACTTTCTGGGTTGTCTTGCTCGGGATCATCGCACCATGTTTTAATGCAGTTTAGTAGCTAGTACGTGGTTTGCTCTTTAGGTTTTTGATATTGCACCGCCGCCACGTCGTGGTATTTAGAGGAACATAATTGCATCACGACTACAACGAACCCTTCGATAACTTATTTTATTGCTGCCTCCGCAATTGTTGATGCGAGGCAAAGTAGGATTTATAAGGAGATTTTGGTAAGAAGGTGAGCTGAGCACATATGACTCGCTCTCATGGAATGGGAGAAGGACGCGCCTATATCTGTCGTTTTAGGAAGAAAGGATATTTGAAATTTACTCTAAAAGAAATAGTTGCATGCAAAACCCGCCCATTTGAAAATTGATATTTTACCAATAACATCACATCATCGAAAGTCTCTCCAACTTTCCGTTCCGGCACTAGGCATCAATGCGGTCAAAAAGAGCTCGCTAGGGAGCTCCCGAAAAGTGGTTTGGCGTTTTTCAGTGGCAATATTTCCGAGTTCCGGAGAGTGATATTTTTAGGGATGCCGTTGGTTTATGAAGTGCTTCGTCCTCCGAGGACAATCGCCGACTTGCAGTTGTGGAATGAGTGCTATTTGAGATGGATTCCTGCTGCTAATGTCACGGTACGTTGCAAATGTCTCAGGATCGACCGTCCTTTGAAGGGCGCTGTACAATTATGTGAAGATGAATGCTCTCCACATACGATGAAAGCAGATCCATAACTGTTTTTCGCAGACCTGCACCGCACCGCACGGCCGGCTATACACTTTGCCATAGTCACACGCGCTAGTTGTTCACCTGGTTTTGATGGGGGTAACCCTGTTTTCCCCAGCTTGACCATGCCAACATGTACGCTGTGGGACCTTGATCACTCAGGTCTCACACCGAACCTTTTGACACTGATGGCTGCTCCAGAGAAATCCTCATATGATGCCTG